CCCCGTGCCCAGGTATACCTTTCGATCGGGCAGATGCTCGATCAGTATGACTTGCTCCAGCTCTTCGACCATTGACTTTGTAGTGTCAGAATCATCGGGGATTATGAAGGTTCAAGGTATCATACAGTCATCATCCTCGATAATTTTCTGCTATTCCGATCTAGTCAAGGCCGACGACTGTGGTTGCTATTTGACATCTTGTTTTTCCTTCGATTCTGATCCCTTTCCCAATGTTAGTGCCGATACCAGTATTACTTCATCAATTCCGAACATCTCTTTGGCTGCTGGTTGCTCGCCGTACACTATTTTGACTCCTTCCAGTGTTGGGAATTTCAAGACTTGATGAAGCATTAAAGGTACTGCCCTCATATTATGGATTCAAGGTCTTTCGAGCAGCGTATTGTATCTCATACCTCCTTCGATCACGTGGAACTTAATTTCCTAGATAGTTTCGGCCATGTTTACTAGCGACATGATTTCCCCTTTGGTGATTTCACTCCCATGTTGAAACCGTTAAGCACTCGAGCTGCAGGCACGATCTGATCTTGAAGGCCGAGTTGCTCCACGACCCTCGATCGAATAATATTCGCTGAGCTACCTAGATTAACCAACACATGTTTAACTTGAATTTTATTCATAAGGATAGATATTACCAGTACGTCGTAGTGAGGCTGTTCATTCTCTTCTGCATCCTCATCGTTGAAGGATAAGGTATCTTCTGGTAAGTAGTCCCGGGTACGCTTTTCCCTTGTGATTGTGACTTTGGTGCATTTGAATGTCGGACCCGAAGGGATATCGACCCAACCGACGATCATATGAATCATGTGCTGCGATTCCTCCTGTTCGTTTTTCCTATTTGCATCCCTGTCTCTGAAGTGATTTTTTGCTCGATCACTCAAGAACTCTCCAAGATGACCTTTATTGAATAAATGAGCTATCGCCTCCCTTAATTGTCTATAGTCCTCGGTTCTGTGACCATGAGTCCCATGGTACTTCCACATTTGATTCGGATCCCTTGAGCTAGATCGATTTGCAGGGGTCGGGGCCATCTAGTATCCTTGATTCAACCAACGGCTGACACAATACCTAAAACATTGATACTGAAGTTGTATTTCGATAACCGTGGTGATTCCTTAAGATCGACGTGTTTATCGAAGCAATTCTTACTCATGAGCCCTAGAGAATTTTGACCTCGATCAATCCTTTGATCATTTCAAACGGGATTACGTACTGGTTCGTTGTTCCTTCGTTCTATGCTATATGGTTGGTATCGATCTCTATTCGATCGGGGCTCTGTGTCAATGTCCCTTTGAATCCTGCCTTCAGACCAGTTTGGGTAAACAGAACCGGATAGAGCTCCCAACTGATCATCCCCGACTCTGATCTTTGATTGGTATCGATTATGCACATAGGCCTAGGATATTGATGGATATTCAATCAAATTCTGCTTTAGTTGACATGATGCTATCGAACTTCGCTCATTCAAAGCCTGAGTAAAGGCTCGGACAACCCAATCATCGGTAACCGGGGGTAGGTCTATAAGTTCTAATGAAGTCGAGATACAAACACCCTTAGTATTTCATTGTCCCTCTGCCTCACTTTGAAGAGGTCCGACTTCCTAGTCACGACCTTTATTGCTCTAGCATGCACCTTTACGAACGAACCAGCAAGCATGACGAAAGAATCGATAGAATTGGGCAGCAAATTATGGTACCATATCATTTCCCCCTTTGATAAAGTTTCTCCAAATTTTTTCAACAAAACGGATTCAATCTCATCATCTTCTAAGTCATTTCCCTTTATCCTGCATGGTACAAAGTGATGTGTTCATTAGGATTGGTGGTCCCATTGTACTTGGGGATGTCTGGCATATGGAACTTCTTAGGAATGATCTTCGGAGCCGCACTTTGAGGAAAAGGCTTCAGCATAAACTTTTTTGAATCCAAACCCTTTAGTATCGGGGTGCCCCCGGTATTTGGTCAACTCGTGAGTTGTACGTTTCTACCTTTTTATCATTAGCCTCGATTTTCTTTTCTCCGGATTCTATCTGTTTAGTGAGATCCTCGAGCATTTTCATGATGGCAGGGTCAGTTCTTGATCCATTATTGTTCAATTTCTCCTATACAGGCTCAACCCTATGAACAACTTCGTGTTACATATCGAGTTCGATTCTGCTTGGTGCCCGATTCTGGAGTTTCGCTATTGTATCCTGCTGAGTTTGTAGAATGTCAAATATCATTTGAAGTCTATTCCGCCTTCTTCACCATTTTGTGCATTCTGATCGGCTGCCCGGGCGTTTGTACAGATGCTATTTTCAGGGTCGGCGCCTAAATCTCCATGAATGGCGACACGAGAACTAACATCAACTGGATCTACGACCTGTGGTGCGTCGGGATTAATTGGAGGCACTCTGTTTTCCAAGGCGACTACGTGTTTGTTTTTGCCATGAAGACCAAGGCCGGTATCAGTGTAAGTGGGTACTACTTGAGAGTTTGACATGTTGATTCCTGAAATAAAAAATATTCACGAGAACAAGTGTAAAAACAGTATGTGTTATGAAGGTTAATATTAAGCAATCACTATTATCCTTAGCCCCACGGTGGGTGCCAAACTGTTTACCCTAAAATCGAGTAACAATTAAACATGTAATGTGATTTTAAGGATACATGATTTTACTTAATACCAATTGATTAATTTAGAGATATGTGATGGAATTGACAAGAATATAAAATAAACTAATGTTTGGACAATGTCCTCGAGCTGATGAACCTTCTAGAGTAATAAAGTAAGAACAGTTAAAGAACAATAAATTGATGAACAATAGAGAAATATTATATTGCTTTGATATATATGAATGTAAGGTGTTTACAAATGATAAGGACCCCTCTTTATATACTAGAGGAATTCTAATTGTGGTACAATTCTAATTACGGAAGTAAATCCCATGATTGATACAAATAACCGTCCTTGATTTTAACCGTTCAGTGATTCCGCCGTGATTTTCGATCGATTACGGATATTTTACCTTTCCGTTATTGCGTTCCCTCGAAGCTATTCACATCTGGTCTCGATCGTCGGGGACCTCGATTTCTGAACTTGGTACCTTGTCTTTGTGCTCAGGCCTGATTCATTACGAGGCTGGCCCTCGATGCAGTTCTCTTATCTTGAAATAATGACAAAATCGGACAAGACCGATTTTACCCGTATACAAACACCATAATTTTTTAATTTTTAAGAAGTTCTTGTTTGATGATGAACAATAATGATGGTTTATTGTTTAAAATCGTTTGAATGTTGATAACTTGTGCTTAAACTTTTAGTTCAGATACAGTTTTTGGAGATTTACTTTAAAAAATCTCAAAACTTCATCGTTGGACCTTAGAAAGTGTTGAAGAAGAAAAAGTGGGATTTTTTAATATGGTGTTATTCGACTAAATTTTGTGATTGAGGTTTGTTATGTTCGTATTTGTATTTGGAAGCTTTATTTCAAATTTGGGAGGAGTTTGGGGGTAGTTTGATTGAAAATGAAGTTGCAAATTTGAAAAACACTTGTTGAAACAACTTAGAAAAAGTATGCCAATCTGGTAGACGTTGATGATCAATTTAACAGATAGATAGACAAAATATAACATCAACTCTACCGACCTGGTAGAGAAATCTCTGAAGAGAAGAAGTATGACAATTCAGTAGATTTCAATGAACAACTTAATAGATATGTAGAGTAATAATAGCATCAACTCTACCGAATTGGTATAAAAATACTGAAGAGCAAAAGTATGATAATCCGGTAGACTTTGATGAACAATTTAATCCGCTAGAGAAATCCTGGAAGAGCTTGTGCTAGTCTGGGGGTCATTTTCTAAATATCGCAAATTTTGAGGACATTCCGCTAAGACCACCCCCAAAAAGTCTTTTTGTGTCAATCACCCATACACCCGTCCTCAAAATAATAGTCGAAAATTGCCCATCAACTCCTTTGATTGCGAGTCATCAAAGGGATAAATGACCGCTAGCGGGGGAAAGCGATAGAAATTGGTTGGGGTTTTTGATTTAGTTACAAGAAGTACTTCTTTGCTCGTTTGTAGCGCCTCAACTCGAGTTTCCGCTGTAGGATTGAATGAGGTGAAGAGAGCTGAAGCCAAGGTTCCTTGCTACGTCCCATAGTATAATTTTATATATTAATATTTAATATACAAAAATATACATATTTTATAAATAATTAATGTATATATTTTTTGTATATTTGACTAGCGATTTAATTATTTTTAGCCGACATGCCAAATATATCACAAAAGGATAAATGTGAATTATTGAAAGTAAAAAGTGGATTTAATTATCATGATTAATAAATATTAATTACAATAAAACTATGAAAATTGGAGCTTCATTTGTTTTCTTTTCATTTCTTCTGTCATTAATATTCTCTCTGTTTCAATTTACGTGACACTTTTTGTTTTTCGAGATTCAAATGTTTTAATGTTGACCATGCATTTTAATATAGAATCATTTAAGTTTAAAATAAAGTTTACAAATTTGAAAACTACGTAAAAATGATATAAGTTACAATAATTTATAATTTAAAATATTTAAAAGGTATATAAAAAAAATTATGATGAAAGTATACTTTTTTGAATTCTTGAAATCCAAATACCTTCACGTAAATTAGAAGGGATGGAGTACTATATTTCATTTCACTGTTTGCATATACATAATCTATCATGGATCTCTAAGTTAAAAGAGTTCAATATTAACAATGTTTAAAACTGATCCCATAATATTGATCAACGAGTGAGTGCTACACCAAAATATTTTAATAATATGAGAAGAGATTAAAGTAGCAACCGAAAAATATATCCATCCAAAATTAGTAAAAAAGCCAGCCGTAACCAAAAAGTATGAGCCACATATATTCTTTCCACACATAGGAAATAAGAGTTCACATTAGTATAAATAGTTTGAGTAGTAAACCCTAGCATTTCCTTCCTCTTTATTTTCTTCTTCATATCCATATATACTTCTTCTTGCACCTTGGTCTTACATTTACTCCATGTCCTTTCTCTTCATAGCTACTACAAACTCGTAATCACTTAAGTTTTCTTTCGATTTAACGATTCAGTATTTGAAATCCACTGATCCGTCTGCTGCTTTAAACTAATAATATCTTCGCACTGAAAAATATTACAAAGGTAGCAATCGTGGATCGAAGGTATGGGAAGAGGCCCTTTTCCTCCAATGAATCGGAGGAGAAAGAGGATAACACGAATACTACTACTACTACTACAAATGAAGAAGAACCTATTTTCCCTTTTTACTCAGCTCGATCTCAACATGACATGTCTGCTATGGTTTCTGTTCTCTCTCAAGTTATTGGCAGCACTACTACTACTACTACTAATAATAATAATAATACCAATATTTCTTCAGTTAGTTCCTCCGTGAATGGAATTAATCCATTAACCCTACCTCAATCAACTGGTGCAAATCTGCAAAACCAATCTCAGTCCGTCCAAGAACAAGGTATTACATCATACTATTATATATATTTGAGCCCCCTTTTTTCCCTTAATTAATTGAAGAATATATTTTTCCATCCTGTTATGATCGATCTTCACTAACAAAATAAATTAAAGGGACTATTGTATGGCTTATTGTATGATATGTTTTGTACTTGCATTTTTTTTTCCTTAAGCGAAAGCTTATCTTTAATTTGTAGATTATCTTTATGACAATAACTAATCTAAGTAATTAATATTATTTTTAATGTGCGTGCGCCACTTGATTTCTAGAATACACAGTCAACAAATTACCAGGATTCTATTTTTAACAACTTCATGGTTTCTTTTTCTTTTTTATTAAATTATGTGATCAACAATTTTGTTATGTTTTTATCTTATATCCAAGGTGATCAGTACGTGTAAATAAATTTTTATACCATCAATACAATTTAACGTGTTTTTGATAGTTACTTAATTACCTTATATTCCATGTTATTAATTACAATAACAATAAATCTAGTAAATCCCACAAATAGCAGTCTCGAGAGTATAGTATGTACGCAGACTTACTTAGAAAGATTGTTCCCGGTAGACTCTCGGCTCCAAGCAAGCATTTCCATGTTACTTATTATGGATAATTTATAACCTTTAATTTTCTGTAAAATAATTTTTTTACACTGTGAGTATATAGAAGTTAAACTCGTGTGTTACATGTGTATGAAAAGGAAATCAGCAGAGAAAACGGCATTATAGAGGAGTAAGACAAAGACCGTGGGGAAAATGGGCAGCCGAAATACGTGACCCAAAAAAAGCAGCTAGAGTTTGGCTTGGAACATTTGACACTGCTGAAGCTGCAGCAATTGCTTATGATGAAGCTGCACTTAAATTCAAAGGCAATAAAGCTAAACTCAATTTCCCTGAAAGAGTTCAAGGCAAAACTGAATTTAGTTTTCTCACCAATACTACACAAGATTTGGGCATAGTTGGTCAGCAATTTCCAGCTACTAGTTCCATTAATAGTAATCTCCCTTATTTTCAACCTAATTATTTGTCTCAAGAACATTTTCCTAATGTGCATCACTACGCACAGTTGCTTCGAGATGGAAATAATTTTGAGATGAATTTTGGGGTTTCGCCGAATTTTTATCAACCAATATCAGAAGGTTTTGTTTCGGAATCGTTACCGAATACATCATTGGAATTACAACAAGGAACATTTCATGAGCAGGAACAAGAAGTTAGTTATAATCAGCAGCAAGAAGAAGATTTTCTGAGATTTCCATTTCATTATGGGAATTCTAATTCAAGTACTGGACCTAATACTGGTGAAAGTAATTGGGAGGATTTTGAACATAGAAAGTAATTTCTTGCTATGTAATTGAGGCGCAACGACTTTCGTGCAACTGCTACGCTCTTCGTAAGGTTTCTTGAAGATGTTCGTTATAATTAAGTTCGTAACAATTAATTAAAGTTTTTTGGTCTATCGGAAACAATATTTTTATCTCTTCGAAGATAAGGGCAAGGTCTATGTACACCCCTTCCTCCCCAGACTTCACTAGTAAAATTTTACTCTGAGTATGTTATTGTTGTTGTTATTATTATTATTGTTGGTGTAAAATGCGAGTTTTTTTCCTCTGTTTTTCTTTCAGAAAATTGTAACTTTGGAAGGTTTGTTTACGCTTCTTGTTTAGTTATTACTACCCCGCCGAGAAAAGATCTTTTTTATGAACCTAGCTATAGAAAAATGTCGTGTGATTTTCTATGTTTAAAGTTTCCATTTGTTTCTCTTCATATTTCTCCCAAACTTCAATCGAGTATTTTACTATGGGTTGAAGTTTCACGACAATACAACAACAGATTCAGTAAAATCCCACAAGTAGGGTTTGTGGAGGGTAATGTGTACGCATATCTTACTCCTATCTTGCGAAGGTAGAGAAGTTGTTTTTGATAGACTCTCGGCTCAAGAACAATGAAAAGGAAGCAAAAAATAAACATTAGCACCAACAAGGTAATAGGGTAACGGAAACAAATATAATGACACAACATATAATAACAAAGATCTAGGAATACGAAAATACAAGAATACCACCAAAACCACTGGTAAAAATGACACAACGTCTAATAAAAAGGAACTAGGAATATAGGAAAATATAATACTAGTACTAATACTACCAGTAGGACTAGGAGAAACTTTCGACTACATGTCAATCCACAACCTAAATCTCGACCTCCACACCTTCCTATCGAAGGTCATGCCCTTGATAAGCTGAAGTTTCATGAAAATAAATGTAAAAAAATCACCATCAAATAATGATGGATAACAATTGGTAATTCTTTCCATCAGATACATTAACCGGATAAATAGAATAAGAGCTTGCTATAGCTAATCGCGTGTGTATATATATATATAAAAGTTAAATCTTATTTAGTTATATCTCAATTTCAGATTAAATGCTCAAGGTTACATTAATTTTTATGCACCTCTACTTTAATTTAGTTATATATGTTGATATTGCATAAATGACGCAATTAGTATGGTAATTGCGTAGCTAAAGTTAGTAGGCAGTTTCGTTAGCCTATTTTGCATGGCAATGTAAGAGGTGCCCCAACCCCAAGCTTTATAGGTAGGAACTAAGATATCGCTCCCATCCACTTTAAACACGTGTGTAATATTAATTAATTTATTGGACCCTCCTTTTTATTCTTTTCTTGTAATTAGTTAATGGCGTTATAGCTTTTATTAATTTGAAATAAAAGGCCTATAAATTAAAGAATTTAATCTATTCAGTGAAACTCTATATCCCTCTTAGAATTCATTTAAGAAATACTATATTATGACTCTCAATTTGCTAAGTAGTGTTTCACTGACTTGAAAAGTCTCTTTATTAATAAGGTCACAAGCAGGCTAGTTTCGGCTATTACAAGATCAATATATACCAAAAAATAAGAGCTATATCTACTTTGGTAATGATATTATTTCAAATAGGGATTTGAGGTATATACACCGATAATATAATAATCAATGCAATTTAATATGTTATTATAACTTACTATCTAGATTATCAATTAATAAGTTAGTACATCGTATTACCTTTTAAATTACCTAATATGTAAATAATTATTACACTGTTAGTGCATATATATAATTTAAATTCTTCCAAATATTTTTATTATCTAAGGATCATATGATTAACTCTCAGGAGTCTGGTATAATATTCCAAACAATAATTATGAGCTCGTGATATTTCTAGTAAATCTTATTGTCTTAAGTGAGATTTCATCCTTCTTTTTTTCCGTTGATATTGTTAGTAAACTGTATTTGTAAAATAATTTTGAAAAATATAAATTAACATAAACAGAAATGAAAAATAGAAATAGAATTTTAATCCGAGCCCATTGAATTCACAGTGTTTCCTTAAGGAATTTAATCCCCTCCTAGTACCCAAGGTTGTGGACTATTTCCTCTCAGAATAGATCGAATTATACACTGGTGTAGTGGTACTTCAAACCCCAGTATTTCAGCGAACACAAAGTTCGGTAGCAAATCACATTTACTGTTGCTTTATTTGATGTTAAAAGTACGCAGAAGAAGGAGGAGAAACTCAGAAAATCGTATGGAAATTCTGAATAGAATAGTCTTGTATTTATAGCCAAAGTTGGGCTAAAATCTGAAGAGGTGCAACTCTTCAGAATGGCTGTTTATGCAAAACGGCTACATCATAAATGCCATAACATAAATTGCTATTTACTCAACAATAAAGAGGGAAAATAAAGAGGAAAAATTGAAGAGGGTAGTTTAATTTTCAGTAACACAACTGAAAAACGGATTGGATTTAATATTAATATTTATTTTAATATTAATATTCTGTTATTAAAATAAATATTTAATAACATTTCTATTAATATTTTACTATTAACAAATAAATTTGGTCCAAAAATTTAATCAGTCAATCATTTGACTAAATCCGAAGCCGAAGCCGAGGCGAGCGAGCGACGATGACGACGACGCGAGGCTCGCCTTCTTCTCAACTCTTTAAGAGCTAGAAGAAGAGCAATTTCTTATATACCCATAAAAAACTTCTTTCTTTTCCAATATTGGACAATGTCCCTTTGCCAAAGGAGAAAACTTAAAATTTCACTTAAAAATTTCATTTCCCTCCATTTCCCATTCACCCTATTTTAAGCATATCATATAATTAAAAATCCCAACAATCACCCGCATGAATGGAGAATGGCTATATCACGGAAATATGCATGAAAAATTGTGTGATTTGCAAGCAAGGATTAATTGTATCTTGATAAGTAGGTTTCCCTTTGAACTTTCCGTAGTGAACTTATGTCGGATATACTCGGTCAATCGGTAGATTTGATATCTTTGAACCGTCGATCTTTGGTGTATACCTAGACAACCATAAGTCACACAATCAACCCTTAACCGTCTTTGGTTCTCATTGTTGTGTTCGTTTCAGCCATGAACACCGCCTGGTTTCATAAGTGCGTAGAGAACTGGCCTTACAAAGTTCTCCTTGAAGCGGCTCACACTTCACACTTAAATAGGTGATTCCTAAACGTGTCATCCTGTAGATACACTATTTGATATACCCCGTATCAAATTTAGAAATCATTAAAAAGCCTTAATGCTTTATCCTTGGTACTGAACATTGTCTCATCACGAGAATGGACCAAAAGTTTAGTTGACAATGTTAAACCGTAATTAATGACTTTGTTTGATCTCCTTGAACCTAGATCTTGGGATCTCTAGTCTTCTAGGTAGAGTTACCACCACTATGACTTGTTCTCGGCCACAATCTCATTCCTCTTGATGATTTCTCAACTACCTCTCTAGTTAGGCCTTTTGTAAGTGGATCCGATACATTATCACTTGACTTTACATAATCAATCGTGATAATTCCTCTAGAGAGTAATTACCTAACAGTTTTATGTCTTCGTCGTATATAACGAGATTTACCGTTATACATAACTCTTCCAGTCCTTCCAATTGTCGCTTGACTATCGCAATGTATGCATATTGGTGCCAATGGTTTGGGCCAAAATGGAATATCTTCCAAGAAATTCCGGAGTCATTCAACTTCTTCATCGGCTTTATCTAAGGCTATGAATTCAGCCTCTATTGTACAGTGGGCAATACAAGTTTGTTTGGACGACATCTAAGATACCGCTCCTCCACCAATAATGAATACATATCCACTTGTGGACTTGGAATCAGCTGATCCGGTGATCCAATTTGTATCACAGTATCCCTCAATGACCGCAGGATATTTGCTGTAGGGCAAAGCAAAGTCCTGGGTATGTACTAAATGTCCCAAAACTCGTTTTATTGCCATCCAATAAGATTGACCTAGATTGCTCGTGTATCGACTTAATTTACTTATAGCACAAGCTATATATGGCCATGTACAATTCATGATGTACACTAAGCAACCCAACACACGAGCATTATCCAATTGTGATATGCTTTGGTCTTTGTTCTTTGCTAATGCAAGATTCACGTCAATTGGAGTCTTTACAACTTTAAAGCCCAAGTGCTTGAATTTTTCAAGTAATGTCTTAATACAGTGAGATTGTGACAATGCCAGACCTTGAGAAGTCTTATGGATCTTAATTCCCAGAATTAAATCAGCAACTCCCAAGTCTTTCATATCAAACTTGCTAGTTAGCATACACTTAGTAGCATCTATATTGGCAATGTCATTACTCATTATCAGCATATCGTCCACATATAAGAAAACAATGACTAAGTGATTTGGAACATTTTTAATGTACACACATTTATCACATTCATTTATCTTAAACCCGTTTGACAACATTGTTTGGTAAAATTTCGCATGCCATTGTTTGGGTGCTTGTTTTAGTCCGTAAAGGGACTTAACAAGTCTACACACTTTCTTTTATTTATCTGGAACCACAAACCCTTCAGGTTGTTCCATGTAGATTTCTTCCTCCAACTCTCCATTTAAGAAGGTCGTCTTAACATCCATTTGATGAATTTCAAGACCATAAACTACAGCTAACGCTACTAACGTTCGTATGGACGTAATTCTTGTAACTAGAGAGTATGTATCAAAATAGTCAAGACCTTCTCGTTGTCTATACCCTTTGACTACAAGTCTTGCCTTATATTTGTCAATAATGCCATCATCTTTCATTTTCCTCTTAAAGATCCATTTAGAACCCAAAGGTTTATTTCTAGGAGGAAGATCAACCAATTCTCATGTATGGTTGTTCAATATGGATTCTATTTCACTATTGACTGCCTCTTTCCTAAACAGTGATTCCGAAGAAGACATAGCTTCTTTAAATGTTTGAGGCTCATTCTCCAACAAGAAAGTCACAAAATCTGGCCCAAATGAAGTAGACGTTCTTTGACGTTTACTACGCCTTGGATCCTCCTGATTAAATGTACTTTATTTTGTTTCTTCCCGAGGTCATTTAGATCCTTCACCAATTGACTCACATTCCTTTTTATACGGATATATATTTTCAAAGAACTCAGCATTATCTGATTCTATAACCGTATTATTATGAATGTCGGGATTTTCTGATTTATGAACTAGAAATTGATATGCTTTACTATTGGTCGCACATCCTATGAAAACACAATCAAAGGTTTTCGGTCCTATTTTTACCCTTTTGGGTTTAGGAACTTGCACTTTTGCCAAGCACCCCCACACTTTAAAATA